GCTGGTTCAAAGAGTGTCGCAACTCTCTTTCTATAGGGCTCTGGCTCCGCCCACATCTGAAGTAGCTTTATGCTCCGCCCACATCTGAGGGAGCTTTATGCTCCGCCCACATCTGAAGGAGCTTTATGCTCCGCCCACATCTGAGGGAGCTTTATGCTCCGCCCACATCTGAAGGAGCTTTATGCTCCGCCCACACAGCAACAGGCTGGCAGGAGATGTGCATGTGTTTAAGAGTTGGTTTGTTTTTGTTCCTGCTCTAAAGAAATCAGCTGTTAAACAACAATAAAAACAGATGAGACCTCTGCACTGAGCTGGACTCTAATCTGACAGATTAGAGACGGGATTAGAAACAGAAAGTCACAGAACTGCTTCCTGTCAGCTGAAAGAAAGCGTCTGCTCCAAGCACACCCTTTACAAACAAGCAGCAGGTCCTCCTGGACCGGGCCTGGCTGGTACTTACAAAGTAGACGGCTCCGAAGCTGCCGTGGCCGATCTCACGCAGGTCAGAGAACAGCTTCTCAGGGTCATCTTTACAGAAGAGCTCCGACACGTCCGGGTCCTTCAGATTCACCGCACGAGCATTCGAGGGCATGGCCAGGGCCTGGAGGACAGGAGACAGGAGGGGGACACGTCAGGACCACGGTCAGGACCACGGTCAGGACCACAGTCAGGACCACCATCAGGACCACCGTCNACCACCGTCAGGACCACAGTCAAGACCACCATCAGGACCACCGTCAAGACCACCATCAGGACCACCGTCAGGACCACAGTCAAGACCACCATCAGGACCACCATCAGGACCACAGTCAGGACCACCATCAGGACCACGGTCAGGACCACCATCAGGACCACCATCAGGACCACTGTCAGGACCACAGTCAGGACCACTGTCAGGACCACCATCAGGACCACAGTCAGGACCACCGTCAGGACCACTGTCAGGACCACAGTCAGGACCACTGTCAGGACCACGGTCAGGACCACCATCAGGACCACGGTCAGGACCACAGTCAGGACCACAATCAGGACCACAGTCAGGACCACCATCAGGACCACCGTCAGGACCATCATCAGGACCAACGGTCAGGACCACCATCACCACCATCAGGACCACAGTCAGGACCACAATCAGGACCACCGTCAGGACCACCATCAGGACCACGGTCAGGACCACCATCAGGACCACGGTCAGGACCACAGTCAGGACCACCATCAGGAACACGGTCAGGACCACAGTCAGGACCACCATCAGGACCACGGTCAGGACCACAGTCAGGACCACCATCAGGACCACTGTCAGGACCACCATCAGGACCACCATCAGGACCACGGTCAGGACCACTGTCAGGACCACGGTCAGGACCACCATCAGGACCACCATCAGGACCACTGTCAGGACCACCATCAGGACCACGGTCAGGACCACAGTCAGGACCACCATCAGGACCACGGTCAGGACCACCATCAGGACCACGGTCAGGACCACCGTCAGGACCACAGTCAGGACCACCGTCAGGACCACCATCAGGACCACGGTCAGGACCACCATCAGGACCACGGTCAGGACCACAGTCAGGACCACCATCAGGAACACGGTCAGGACCACAGTCAGGACCACCATCAGGACCACGGTCAGGACCACAGTCAGGACCACAATCAGGACCACAGTCAGGACCACCTGTAAGTGTCAGCTGGAGCCCGCAGGACAACCTGGACCGGGCCGGGTCGGGTTGGGCCTCACTGAAAGGGTCAGCGCTCGGCCCCGGGGCCTGATTGACACGGAGCTGTGAGGTTTTATCTGCTCCTGGTGCTGCTGCAGGAACCTGAGGACAGGTTTCTGTCCTGCTGCCTCCTGAACAAACATCTGAGGCCTCCAGCTGCCTCACGGCGCTCAGACTGAGGCATGCTGGGAAATAACCATCTGTAGTCTGAACACAGCCCAGACACACAGAGTGTTTCTGTCACTTTCATTCAAAATATTTACATTCAGGCTGAATTCAAGAATCCTGATGAAAACAACAAAGTGTTAAATTTGACAGCAACAATTTTCTATTAAATAAACTAATAAAAGGCAAACTAAAACCTTTAGGTGTCCACATTAACTTCATAAAATGTCATCATGTTTAGAATAAACCAGGATGTTTGGATCCTTCAGCTGAAAGTTTCAGTTCTTCTGAAAACGTCACCTGAACACACCTGGAAAACAAGCTTCCTGGAAAACAAGCTTCCTGGAAAACAAGCTTCTTCAAATTCCAACATGAAAAAAAAACAAGTCCTGGTTTCAGCTGTGAGGCCTTCTCAGAGCAGATTATAGAGAATCTGACGTTTGAACAGGAACGGTTGGAGAGACCACCTGTCAGAGACCACCTGTCAGAGCCCACCTGTCAGAGACCACCTGTCAGAGACCACCTGTCAGAGACCACCTGTCAGAGCCCACCTGTCAGAGACCACCTGTCAGAGACCACCTGTCAGAGACCACCTGTCAGAGATCACCTGTCAGAGACCACCTGTCAGAGACCACCTGTCAAAGACCACCTGTCAGGGACCACCTCTGTCAGAGACCA